ACTTATACAAGATTATATGATATAGTTTATGTGACATTGTTTATATACATATATCTTATATATTTATATATATATCCAATCCCACTAGAATATTTCTAAGGACACACATACAATATTACTACCGTTATACTTATTATGATCTTATTGATATTCCCACAAAACTATTAATTCAGGCCTAATTAGAAAATTTATATGCTATTTTGGGTATCAAAGTTGAAAATGATGCTATTCCAGGTATTTACCGTCTTGGTAAATCTTGATTGCGTCCCCCTCGAGTTCTTTAGCCTCGTCATATACTTGGTAGAAAAGCTGCCACTTCTTGAACTTGAGCTCATGAACGGCCGCACCGAGCTTCATCTGGGGAAAGTTTAGCCCATCAATCGACATAATAACCTTCAACCTACACAACTTGAAAGCATTGATGATCGCGAAAAGCTTCTTGATCAAGCTGACGCGATTGTTGTAAAACTTGCGGCATTCAGTCTTCGGCCATGGCGCATGGATCTTGACCGATAACTTCTTGATGTATTTGTACTCGGGCAGAGCAGCGAGAAGGGCTGGCATATCCGTAATAGGGTGTTCGGCTACAGAAGGGCACATCTCGATGTAAATTGAGATATGCTTGTTGTCGATGATGGTGATGGCAGGATGTTGGGTTAGAGCACTCAGCTCGATGAATGGTCTAGCCTTGGGTGTCTCTGCGAGGAACTTCGAGGATGGTCGAACTTGTGCAGCGCTGCCGCGATAATTTTTGTTACCCATGTCGATAGATTTAAAGTTGTGAGATAAAGAGGGTCTTTGTAGGCGACGAAGGAAGTTTTAATAAATGTATGGAAGATGAATGAATGATCGAGTGCTTGTCCGTTTTTTGAAATGAAAGCGAGTCGGTTTGGTTTTTGACTTGTGGATGTTGTTGTAGGGAAGGTTGTAAGGAAGAAGGATTCCTGTCTCTGGAACAGCAGGAGAGCTCTTAGGCTAAGTAGCCATCCTCCACTACGGCCAATTGATGCTAGTGCCTAGTGGTATCGATGGCGGTACTATAACAACTGTAATGGAATGCTATACGGCAGCTTACCCCACTGTGACTCATGAAATTCAACATAATGAAGTGAATCAATGATGTTAGTCGGTAAATCCAAAAAGATTTGCAATGTTGTAGCGAGCCCTGTGGTGGCACGCAGAAGTCATATTACAGAGTGAAATATTGTATATCATCCAATCATTTTCTTTAACGTTTATTCAATATCTCTTTGTGATATAGGAAATATAAGTATTCGTAATCTACAACGATCTTGCTCAAAATATGAGATTAGTATAATGAGAGAGCTAGGCAGATGTAGCTAGTAAGACTAGCTATAGCATGGCGATAGTAAGAAAAAGGGCGGGGTAGGCTAGAAAAAATAGCCGAACTAACTAAAGGGGAGCAAGCTAATTAAGAACAACGGCACGGGAAGCACTAATAATACTGAATTATCATCAAACCCCAAAACATTAAATTCACCACTATCACACACACACGCGCGCATACGAATTCAATATTCATGTTGAGAAGCTTGAAAAGCTCGAAAACAATGAAAGAATCAATTTTTCCCATAGAATACGAAGAAAAAGTAGGATAACTCAGTACTCTATTACCATTTTTTGGGAATGTTTATTGGATGGCTTTTGTGATATATGAAATTTTTCCGTGTACTACGAAAGAACATCTTCGCAGAGCAAGTAACCCTGCCACCACAGGGGAGGTTAGGGATACTTGTTACAGCGAGGCCACACATGCGGTAACACATATGATTAATATTTGCGGTTCATTACTAGAGTATGGTAGGAGGTGGGCAGGAAGACGAAGATCAAAAGAGGAAAGTTATTGTATTCAAGTTAGTACTATATAGGTCTGCACAGTTGGCCAACGACCCTCCACGATTACCTGTCGGTTGCTGCTTGTCACAAGACCTTATGGTCAGCTTGGCAGGCTCACTGAGCCTTAATGTGGCTTGTATCCAAATATAATTAGACAATGGGGACTTGTTATGATGGCACCAGCTCGTGGAAAAGGCTATCAGGGGCCTTGATAAAACCGTATCCATTTTAAAAGAGGTAATGATGGCAGTTGTAGATTTAGAGTCATTTCACAAAGTTCATAGTTACAGTAAGGCGTATCACAATAATATAGTAAGAAAAAAAAGTATCTAAATTTAAAAGCAAACCAAAACTCCGATGTTCAAACCGATGTGGGAAGTTCTATCAAAGAACGATTCAAACTCCAATGCGCGCGAATCGATCAGTTTGGCCTGAGGAAGCCCGCTTCCCTGGCATCACCACTCGATTTTTGTCTCAAAGTTCCGCCGAATTCCTTCTGTCAAACTCCTCGAAGTCTTTTCTCGATCGCACTGTCTTTCTCAACATTTTTGATTGGTTCTCCCACCACCACCATTGCCAATGTCCACTTGTTGAACACAAGCCCGTGCAAATCTGCCATCAACTTCATCTGAACGAAATTGTGCGTGTCGATTAGCATCTTCGCTTGGAAGTGCCTAATCTCGCGGATTCTATTCAACTGTAAGATGATGCTCTTGATTGCTTCGATACGTTTGAAGTGATCTTCGCGAGTGTTCATGGCTGGAGGCACATCGCGGATCGAGAAACGGACGGAGGTTGCAATGTTGGTATACTCTGGGAGTATTGCCACGATGCTGGAGATGTCTGTGGGTTCCTGCCCGATCTTGGGTGCGAAATCGAGTTCGATGGTCAAGGTGTGACTGAAGAACTTGATTGATGGGTGGGCGGGGATTGTTGCTGGGTCTTTCGGGGTCGACTCACTCACCTTCATAGCCTGTGGTGGCGCTGCAAGTGCTTGATTTGAATTGAGAGACATGTTGTTTTGTTGAGAATGCAGGTTCGTGCTGGTTGATGAACAAAATAAATTATAATAACCATAATGGTATTTATATGCCGGATCGTTCCGAAAAATATTATTGTTTGAACAATGTTCCTGTTTTATTGTAGTGGGTACACAGTTTATTGTCTAGACTTATCGTCACAGTCGCTTTTCTCCTGTTCTCACTGACTCCTTTGTTTCCGCGAGTCAACCTTTGTCTACCTTTATTCATTTGTACAGTAAACGACACAAAGCTACAATATATGGCGTTAGTTCTCCAAATTTCTGTTGACTAATTACTATGGTCACCCTATGTGGGCGTTAGATAACTTCCAAAAACGAGTAAATAGCTTGAAGAATTAGACGCCTTGAATGTAAGGGAAAACTACAAGTGAATTAGCCGCTGCGAAACACTTGTGAAGTCCTAACGATTCAGTCTCTAAGGAGAAATGAGAAATAGTAGAAGTGGCAGCTGTGCTCGTGTAATCCAGTGGATTTATGATATATTGAAATGAAAATGCAAAAGGGTGGACAAGAGGAACTTCTTCACTTTCCGAGTGAATTGATGCTGAGACTTGCAAATAATTACATAAAAGTTCTCCCCGCCATCTCACCAGCCTATGGCAACTAAACCACCGCCAAAAATATATCCTAAAGGTAAAGCCACTTTATTTACGGACCAATTCGTCCCAACCATCAAGTCATCTAAATCCTTCTTCAACTCCCGTACCTATATGTAGCATAACCATCCACAATATTTCATTTGGACCTTAAAATCTCTGTCATAAACACCACGGAGGCGTCTCATGAGGATGCTCTGTTCGTCGATCTCGATAAGACGCAATATACCGTCAAAGTAATAGAACAAATTCCAGTTCTTCTCCAATGCCAAGAAGGAAGCTGCCAATTTCATTTGCTGAAAGTTGGCATAATCAACTTTAATCCTAATATTGATGTGTGTAACGACCTTGAAGGATTGGTTGATTCGATTGACTAGAGCTTTCATCTCAGAAACATGCTGGGCGTATATGCTGGGATTTTCGTAGAGGCGGATCACTCGTGGATGAAACAGCAGTTGAATGTTATTTGCCCATGGTCCATACTCAGCCATGCGGAGATTCAAGATTGCCATGTAAATAGCCATCTCTTCTTGTGTTTTTCCTTCGGTGTATGCGATATACATGTGTAGGGTTCGTGATTCCTCCAACCAGATGAGTGATTCATGTGCTTTGATGTCGTAGGGAGGCTTTGGAAGAATTGAGCGAAGACTGGCCTTGCCGATCGGGGGATTATTTTTGACCATGCTTGCTAACGTATTATTAGTGATGCGACATCAAATGAGGTAACTGGAAAGGGTCTTAACTTACCGGTAGTTTCTCTCAAAATAATAACACACTGCCTGCGATTGTCTTTAGTTGGATCAACTTTACTTGGGAAAAAGGGGGATGGATGGAGGAAGTAGAAAAGAAGTATTATAAAAGAGGCGGGGGTAAGTGTGCCGACGAGTATCTCTTAGGAATTATAGTCATCAGCATAAATATTAGTTTAATGAGTTCATTCTCAAGGTATATCTTGTATGTTCGACTACATCCCCACAATATTGCCGTAGTAATACAGTCATGAGACGGAAGGCTACGGATTTTACACGATTGTCCTATCAAAGAGCTTTTTCACATCATTTGACCAATACTTGGCTATTTGAATAATCAAAGGTCTAGTCACCTGAAGTCAATAAATGAGCCCCGCACAAGGAGCAGCTTAAGTCAAAAAGTTTCTTGATGCAACAGCGACATAAAGCCAAAGCTACATGATGAGCCCAGTGGGAGCTTGGTGACTTTTCTTTTGAGATGGACGAAACTCAGGACAATGAAATTATCGAATTCGAATGCTATTATACATGGGGAAACATCTTCTACTCCTTAATAAAATATTCCTATGTGAGACAATGTAGATATCGTTAACATTGCACTTCTCAATGTCAATATTCCATTAAATTCACCAATTTCGAGGCTATGATCCAGCGACGTTCTCCTGGCAATTCCACGAGTGTTCAAGGCCAATCACATTACTCTTCAACGAATGCCACCTCGATGTGAGTAGAGTGGTATCTCGCGATTGTTCCGAGAATAAGTAGCTCTGACGAGACCCATATACCTGCCTAGTGTGTACAGCCTCTGAACAGCCTTTGGACAGCTTCTGAACACAATTTCTCGGATAATATATATACCCCTGAATCCAGCGATACTCATTCACATCATCAGCATCATGCACATTCTTCGGACACGAAGAAATGAACACCCACGCACACGATCAACAATCAAACACACCCACCGCAGCGATGTCAGACATCACATACACCACGTGGGCTTGCGGTCATACGACTTCTTCGTCAAAGCCGAGAGAGCCTAGACGCGAGAAGATCAAGAGATCGTTGAAACGTGTGATCAGTGCCGGAAAATCAACCGAACAGTCTGGAACAGAAGGGTTCAAATCAGGGATGAAGCGAGTTTTGACTCTCGGAATGTCCGACTCGAGAAGTCGAACAACCTAACAGCCTCAACCACCACTACAATCAACCGAAGATTGTTTCGATTGCAAGATGGCCGATTTTTTGGGCAAACGACCTCCTCCATCTGCTCTCAAGCAAAAAGACACAATCCAATCGGATAAGTACGATGAACTTGTCGATGAATCGTCAGATGCAGATTGTGAGCGGGAGGAGCCCAGTCTCGAAAGGCACCACACAGAGCGGATTCTCTCGGAAGAGAGCCAATCACAAAGACAAATCGCTGCTATTCAACGAAAGCCTGTGGGAAGCGATCAAGGGCAGCGCAGACAACAAGGCCGTGCTCTTGTTTCGCTGCTCAGGGAACGAACTCAAGAACGTCTTGACAGACAGAATCGCGCTCCTCCAGTCGATGACGAAGATCGGAGTGCAACACAACGGGCCTTCGTTCCTCTCGGATTCAATGTGAATCAGCACAGAGAACAAAGTCTCGCTCAACTCGAAGGACGGTATGATGCTGCTCCGGTCGACGATGAACACTCGCGCGCAACACAACAGGCCCGCATGTTTGCAGACGATCCGGAATTCCATAGAACGCAAACACTCGCTAATCTCGGGGAACACTCGCTTGCAGAACAACAGGCCCACATGTTTGCAGACGATCCAGAATTCCATAGAGCGCAGACACTCGCTAATCTCGGGGAACACTCGCGTACAGCACAACAGGCCCGCATGTTTCAAAACGATCCTGAGTATCATAAAGCGCATAATCTCGCAAATTTTGAGGAACGCTCGCGTGCAGAACAACAGGCCCACATGTTCAAAGACGATCCAGAGTTTTATAGAGCGCAAGCTCTCGCAAATTTCGAGGAACATCCACTGACTTCGGGAGAACGAAATCGTGCTCCTCCAGCTGACAATCGGGAATCGCGTGCAAGACAGCAACGAAACCATCCTCACATGACAATCAATCAGGAGGATCAGATGGAGTGGGATTTATTTAGACAAAGAAGAGACACGGACCCAAGAGAATCCATTTGAATCGGATGATGATTGAAATGAAACCAAAAGGGTGAGTTTGTGAGGTGTTTTGCTGACAACAAGCTAGATCGACCAAATTCCTCGGAATGGGGTGTTATAAATGGGTACAAGGCTTAGGATAATTTTAAGTTTTGCTGAAAACAAGCTAGATCGACCAAATTTCTCGGAATGGGGGTGTTATAGGTGGGTACCAGGCTTAGGATAATTTTAACTCCTGTATAAACTAGGTGAGTACAAACTGCAAAGCCGAATTGGCAACCAAATACAATATAATTAATAGTAAATACCTGGAATAGCATCATTTTCAACTTTGATACCCGAAATAGCATATAAACTTTCTAATTAGGCCTGAATTAACACATTGTGTTATTTCAGTCGTTTTTAAATAATGTGTTAATCTGGTCTCAAAAAAATAAAATGATGCTATTCTGGTCACAAAATTCATGTGTTAATCTGGTCGCAGAAAAAGAAAAGGGTGCTATTCTGGTCTCAAAGTTGATTCGTTATTTTGGTATAAGTAATAACCTTATATCCTTTTGTATAGCCCCTCCCTTTCCCCCATTTCTATATCCTTTCGTGTAACCCCTTCCCTTCCCCCTTTCCTATATCCTCTTATATAAATAATACTATTTTATTGCAATCAGATTAACATATAAATTTTGTAACCAGAATAACACCTTTTTTTTTCTTGCAACCAAACTAATATATAAATTTGTAACCAGAATAGCATCATTTCTGTTCCTGAGACCAGATTAATATATTTTATTTTGCAATCAAAATAACACAAAAAAACTTAACCTGAAATAGCATATATTATATCTCGATTAGTACTTAGGCTATTTCGGGTATCAAAGTTCAAAATGATGCTATTCCAGGTATTTACCATATAATTAATGAAAATATACGACTACTCCAATGTGACTATGAAGTGACTATAAATATCATATCCATCCCCATGTGAACACAACATGAATATATACTAGATGACAGGCCGCAAACAATCTTCAAACAAAGATTTCCAAAAGTCTATTATGAGATAAATTTTAAACCCCTGAATTTAACGAAAATTTTCCACTTTTACTCTGGTCTTTGTTTTGGTCTTTGTCCAATGAAGAGTGTAACCACAAAGACTGCCAACTCTTTCAGTCTAATCATACAAAGAAATCCTGCGAACAATCGATAATTCAATTAAGTAAGTGAGAACATTATGATAGGTAAAATCCCAACCAAAAAAGAGAAAATAGCTTGAAAGACGCAATCACTCAAAAGGAACTCGAGATGCAAGATCGAGCAGAGGGTTACTTGACATTATCGAGAAGAGACCGCCTCATCGGCTCTTAAAGATGGCGAATTCAATGATTTAAACGAGTTTGTCCGATGGTTAGAAAGTAAAACACAAGCATGATATGTTTTTCGGATGCATCAATTGAAATGGCGGGCTTAAAATAATTAATTGAATTCCATGTGTCTAGATTGTTCAGCGCGCTAACGACTCGGAGGAGACTTAACTTTTATGAGGAGTAATGATCGTAAGGTAATTCCGCAACTGTTGAAACATTTATCACATTTTGTGCTAGAAGATTAATGAAAGTGGTGATGAAGCACCAAAAGTCACGTGAAGCGATGGGATGGGGGAGTCGACTGAAGGGGATAAGTTAGAAAAACAGATGGGAGGGCTAGTGAAGGAATTGAGTTGAGTGTCACGACCAGGTATCAAAGATGAGAGAAGAAAATATGCAAAAAGGCAATGGAGGATAAGAAATACAAGCAGCTCTTTCTATGAATAATATCACTGAATTTACGTTCTACGGTCTCAGTCTACACAGGCCAGTATCGTGCTGCTGTCGTACCCCTGATTAGGAATGATTTTAGCGAGGTTGCTTGAGATGCAGGAATGTATCATCGTATCTAGGGATTCGCATCGCAGAGATCAGGTTCATGATGCAGTATGAAGATGATGATGAGAAAAAACTCGTTCTATGACAAAATAAACCTGATAGTAGTTCAATACCGGTGAAGAACCTTCATGTCTTCCCGGCTGGAAAAGAGATAGTAGGAACGTTTCATGAAATTCATTAGTCTAGATTCTATAGTGACTGCGCTTCGCGATTGATATGCGAAGAAATGTGCTATACTGAAAAATGATTGGATTGAAGTTACATACAAATATAGCATACAAATTTAAAGTAACATTCATAAATAGATAATCGAAATGGAGGAAGTTGTTTTTGCTTATGATGAAAAGATTGTATGAGCCAGAAAACGATCTCCCACCACACGCAATACCCGTCCCAAAGTACACAAACTATAAGAACTAAAAGATTTATAAAGGATCAGCATCGTCAAATCATCAATACCAAATCAACTCATGCCTCCTTGAATCCGCTGTTGTCCACAGCACCAAATCGTAGAAAAAACACCTCCGAAGCCTCGTCAATCCCTCATTCACACAACCCACGATGACCTCCTCCGAAACCTCACCTCACCTCATTCCCTCACCTAAACTCCCCCTCACCTAAACTCCCTCTCAAAAACCCCCACCAACCTCCCCATAACCCCATCCACCGGCGAAATCACCACCGGGGCGATCCCCCTCCCCCTCACCTTCTCCCCTTCCACATACCCAAACGACCACTCCACCCCACTCAACCCATACAAACTGGCCCCCATCTTCAACTGCGGAAAATTACACTGATTAACTAAAACCCGCATATGCACTTCTTTCAACTTCTGAAACTCATTAATTTGTTGCACGATGAGTTTGATGTTTGCGATGTGCGTGCGATAGATTTCATCGGGTATTTCGTGGGGGATGGCGGGGCGAATGCCGATTTTAATGATGTGTGTATAGGGGGAGTAGAAGGGGAGGATTTGTGTGAGGGTGCTGAGGGAAATGGTGTTTTGAGAGGGGGTGGGGTTGAGTTGGTCGATGCTGATGGTTAGGATGCCGGCCCAGAATCTTAGGCTTGGGTGTGGGTTGATTTCGGAGAGGGGTTTGGGGATGGTTGTGTTGTTGTTTTCCATTGTGGGAGATTTTGTAGTTTGAGGAATGGACTTGGTAATGGAGGGGTCTCGTAAGTATTGGTGACCTGTTTATATTGCTCTGAATTGAGATTTGCCAAATGTTGGATGTTATGAACGCAGAGGATGTTTGTAAGATAGGTGGGAGAAGCAGCTTAGAATAGGATCTAGGAAGTGTTATAAACAACATGAGACTGTTCTCAGTACGGCCTATGCAGGGAACTGCTGTAGAAAACAACAACTAACGCCGTTCTAGTACATCCAATCCCCACCGGAAAGCCGTATCTCCTCCTTTGCTTCCGTATAGTAGTAGTATACATACATATGCAACTATCTACTAAGATTGGAGCTTACAAATTCATATAGTACGACAGTCTTGTATTGGGAATCACAAATCGATAGTCAAAATAGTGGAAGATTAATACAGCCTTATATCATAACGTATATACAAGAATCGAGAGCTATTTCTCAAATTCTAGGCTATCCTGCGTTTATACCGATGTTCCAAAGAGCATTTGAACGACCGCAACATACCAATAAACATCTGCTTAGTGCTCAAAACTGCATTTGCCCATGATACCGTGATACCGCGGTACTAAGAGAAAGTTAAAAACTCCCGGATGATCCGCCACAACAGGCCAACCCTATGACAACTCAGTCGCACCCATACCCATAACCACCACACCACCCCCACCACTCCCATCACTCCCACCACTCACCAAAACTCTCTTCTATACACACCGAACAATCTACCCATCGTATCCGCCCTCCGAGACACCACAACCGGCTCGCCTCCATTTTCAACAAATGAGAAATGCCAATCCTATCCCTTATTCAGACCATACATCGCAGCAGCAAGTTTCATCTGAGAAAAGTTATGATAATCAAGCAAAGTACGAACACGAACTTGAACAAGTTTGCCAAACTTATTCAGCTCGTTGACGATCGATTTCATGTCCTGAACATGAGTGATGTGGATGTTGTGGTTCTGGTTGTGGGAGATGTCCGCGTGGATGCTGAGTTGAATGATCTTTGTATATGGTGCGTAGTTGGGCAGAATCGCTAGGAGGGTTGTCATGAATTGGGAGTTTTCTTGCTCTGTGTTTACGTTGCAGTAGTCGATGGTGATTGTTAAGATGTTGCCTGTGAGAACCATTCCTGGGTGGTTTGCGATCTCGGATGGTTCTTTGGGGATCAGTTCGATGGCCGCAGCCTGGGGGACACGTCGATTTTTGTTTCCCATGGTGATAAGATTTGTGAATTCAAGATGTCTTTTAGTGAAAAGGTATTGTAAGTGCCTATGTTGTTGGTTGGTGTTTAGAAGGCGTTACTCGTGGTTCTTATGGCCGAAATTGTTGATGAGTCGAAAATGGAACGATTCAATTCCGGAGATGGAGAGGATTGATAAGATGAATGAAGGAAGCAGAATAGAGCAGCCCCCGGGAAATTCTTTTATAAAAACAACACTGTTCCTAGTACAACCACTACCCAAAGAAATGTCGTATCTAATAAACTCCTTTCAACCGCAGCCGTACAGTATATATATACTAATCCACCGAGAATGAGGCCCTCCAAATTCCAATCAATATGGTATATCAATGAGGCCCTCCAAGTCCCAGCCCATATAGTAATCTTACATCAACAAACCCTTGCATACACAAACATCGAATCTAACACTTGCACGTATTCTTTCAGCCTTGCTGATTCCTTCCAGATTTCTAGATCCTCTCTACGAATTCGATGTGAAAGCCATAAAAGAAAAGAACACGATACTAAGGATCCAAAGCCGTCGATTCTTTCTGTCAAATAGACCCGATACTATTCAGTGTTTCCCCTAGCTTCCCTTAAATCAACATAATAGTGACTTATGATTCAAAAGCCATCCAACACAATTGCAGTGATACAGCGCTACGTTGAAAGCAAAGTATATACTCGAGTAAAGCCACACATACTCAAGCCGCGAGGGTTAGCTGAACACATTTCTGCATATATTTGAGATTTGATTCTTGGATCTTCCTCTACCATCCATGCAGCAGTGGGTCCGGGGATTGAGCTTCTGGAGGCCCTCCGAATGTGATGTGGCCTCCGAATGTGGAGTTCATGTCTGATATTTATCTGAATTATATCCGGTCAAGAGTCATATCATCATCGAGACATGACGGAGTATATAAAATTGAGGAGTTCTTACACCCACATATAGAATGGTCCCTCCACCCCACTCAGCTCCCGCCCCCCTTGACACCAAAAGTCCCCACCCCGCTACCACGCATCCGGAAAGGTACATAAAAAAGCACTGGCCCCATATAATTTGTTCTACTGCTCCACTCCACTCCCATCTGAATTTTCCCCTTCAACAATCAAACAAAAGAAGTGGTGAGCACACCAAAAAGCCAAAAAAAAAGCAAAAGAATAATGATGAGAGTGGGATTTGAACCCACGCCTATTACTAGACCAGGAGATTGAATATGATATTCATGAGAATTCACAACCTTAACCTGGCGCCTTAGACCAACTCGGCCATCTCACCTGTTATCTATTTTTGATAGAGATCACTGGGCTGCTTGGAGATAAGACGGTAAGTTTTTGAAGGTGATCAATCTGTGGCAATCTGATACTGCTATCAAATGTTCCCGCCTAACGGGTGGACAAGCAATACTGATAGCAAATGCAACATGATCAAGTGTACTCGAGTAGAACAATCATATCCATGAATACCAAGCAGACATATGACTTTTTATCACCGAAGACCGAAGGATACTTTCACTTCGAAGCTCGAAAGAGACGACATCACTGATCAATGAGAACGGTTTGTCGAGGTTGGCTGTTCAAGATAACCAAACCAATCAATTCACCATTCAATCTGCTGCGACCCTACCTGCTACCAATTTACTCCAATCCTGTTCAACTCCGCTTTCAATATTAGGAATAGGACCCATTGGCGTAATAGCCTTTGGATTGATGTCGGCATGGCTCTTCGTGTACTGGCTACTATTAGCCTCCAAGTATCATGAGCATTTCAAACAACTCACATTCTCCTTGATATGTTTGAAATTAGTAGTTTCTTTGAACCCCGCTACCTCCCAATATAAATGCTTCAACCATGCATTCAAGACCGGATAATCATGACGAATCGTTCCCAGGTTGCACTTGAAATGTTGCACATACACAGCATCGAAGCGACAAATCGTGGGGTACAATCTCAAATCCAATTCTGTCATTTTTGACCCCAAAACATATGGACCTCCATTCTTCTTGATGATACCTTCAATTCGATTGAGGGCGTTGAATAATGGCACAACATTTATGTCATATGTTTCTTGGTCCGGTGCAAATCCAGCCTTGTACACTCCGGTGTTGATGTCGTTTTGCATCCATTCTCCTATATCATCTATGTCCGTGGCCAAATGATCGGGATAGAAGTCCAATTTCTTGTACTTATCGTCCAATATGCTATCAAACCCAGTACTCAGATTCCGCAGTATCTCCAAGCTTTCATTGCAAACAATCTGATTTGTCTTCTTGTCCCATAGAACGGGCACCGAATATTTCCCTTGGTATTCTTTCTGAGCGCGGAAATATACTCCGTGAAGGTATTCGGAATGGAAGAGATGGTCTTCGGTTGCGCCGGGGTATGGATCAGTTTCCGTTGCGAATTTCCACCCAGGCCAACCTTTGTCGTCACCTTTTGGATAGGGTTTGACAATGGATATCGGGAGAATGGAGGTGAGACCTTTGAGGTGTCGAATTAGGTTCACTCGGTGAGCGAATGGGCAGAACAATCCTGTTCAAGCATCCGTCAGAATAATCCGCAGATATGATATGAGGAATGGTTTACCAATGTGTAAGTGGTATCGATTATTTTCGGGTGGGAATTGTCCTCCCACTTCAATTCGACCATGCCAATTACCATCTTTTGGCACAGATTGTCCTTTCGCAATTGTAAACATTTTGGTATGCTGCCTGTTAATACTTGAGTATAATACCGGATGTTCGCGGGATTGCTAATGTTCATCCGAGCTTATGAAGTCAAAAGGGTTCGATGTAGCCTCCTTTCACAATGTGAAATACCGGTATGTAACTTCTTCAAAGAACGTATCACTAGTACAAGAGTATCGGGGTGTAGCAATTCATATAAAGCTGCTCACATTGTAATGATCGTGTAACCTCAAAAGGGTGTCGGTATCTGCTCCCTCATTGGGTTATCACCGATAATTATGGGGCATGTACAGTTATAATTGCACTGTAAGCAATCTGACTCGGAAAGTCGGGAGGCAACGATATTACCGGTAACTGTAATATCTACTCGAGTATGTATTTAAATATAATTGATTAGTAGTACTATGCTGATTCTTTCTTTTCAAGTCTAACCAGCTTCTAATTATACTTCTCTAACATTTTTGCTCGTATCGCCATCCATCCACATTGATCAATCTCCATCATCAACGCGGTTACCTACACCATTCTACACCTACACCGCCTTTATATAGAATAAAAACCAACACCCCAAGACAAAGACCTCAAATATCTGCTACAGTATACATTTCTAGATGAAAACGGGAATTTATCATCAAATATAGGTGGACGGATGGATTCTTATATCAACGAGCTGTCTTTTGCGGCTCCCGCACTCATTGGACTATTCACGATCCCAACTGCATGGCGATTTGTTAAGAACTTCAAGCAACCCAGATCAACCAATCATGATGCTCTCTATGAAGACAAAGATGGGGTGGCTACGGAAGAATCCATGGCTAAATACTCTACCAAGCTTCAATTCGTGATTATTTTCACTTCTCTCATCGTGGGACTTCTGGTTTCCTTTGGATTGGCTGTTTTTGCTACAGTCGAGAAGGATGATGGGTTCTCGGATTTATGTTTGGTGCAACTTTGGTTATTGTTCGTATCTTGGGTATGTTTGATCTGGTGTACTCGTACAGAATCAGCCTTAACCCTTGTACTAACAAACATTAGATTCTTACTCTCATTCAGATATTGGAAACTTCAAGAGAAACCCAACCTGTAATCAAATTTCAAAAGGGAATATTTAATTCAGTATCATGCCTTTTAATAGGTGTTCTCGCATGTTTCGTCCTATCCGGTCTTTCTCCATATCAACCCCCTATTCGCCTCGTGTCGAGCATTCTCACAGCTCTCCAAATCGTTGCTGCCACATTTGGTGCCTTGACATTCTACTTCGTCGAACGCCGTCCTGATGTCTTTACTCCTGATGGAAATGTTGTAGAGAGGCAATTCAAAAAGTCATTGTGGAATAGATATGCCTTCAATTGGAGCTCCGAGCTCCTCGATATTGCTTCGGAAAAGCTGATTGAAATATCCGATCTTCCTGTTATGGATGGACATGTACGTTCGAAAGATGTCAGGAACGCTTTCGGATCGATAATATTGAAGCCATCAGTTCCATTATGGCTCCAAATTTTCTGGGCATATCGTACACCTATATTTACTCAATGGGTGTTAGTAATGATCTCGTCTGTTATCGACGCTGCACCTCAGTTTGCCGTACTGAAACTTTTACAATACCTCGAGGCTCGTCAGGAGTTTGATGCAATTGATCCTCAAGCATGGATCTGGGTGTTCGGTCTTTTTGCAGCTACAATTGCTGAAACTCTGATGGATAATCGAATAAATTGGTTGATGTGGTCCGATCTTGCAATTCCGATCAGGTCAACTCTTACATCGCTCATATTCGAAAAGATGATGAAGATGAAAGACTGCAAGGAGCCTCCTAAGCCAGAATCGAGTGAAGAAGCAACAGACAAGGCAAAAAGTTCACCCAAAACTGATGATACTCCAAAGGCCAATGGGAAGGCCAACTCTAACGGTACTGCAGAGCCAGGTGCATCAAATGGGCATGGACCCCATGCGCCAGAAGCTAAGAAAGGGAAGGATGGGGATTCAAAGAAGAAAATTGAGACTGACAAAGATATTATCAATATGTTTGCCGTGGACGCAAATCAGGTTGGTGTTTTTGGAGCTGTTAATCAGTTCTACATCTTGTTCTTCTGTAAATTTGCAGTTTCGATCGTGTTTCTGAAATTGCTGGTAGGGTGGGAGAGTATGGCTGCCGGTATGATAGCAATCGTAGGCATGGCGCCAATCAACCAAGCTCTTGCAAAAAGATATGGAGGTTTTCAAAGAGAATTGATGAAGGCCAGAGATAAGAAGACTACCGTAGTCACTGAAGCACTTAATGGTATCCGACAGATCAAGTTCTCTGCCAACGAAAACCAATGGAGCGAAAAGATATTCGAAGCTCGTGAAGAAGAAATTGGTAAACTTTGGAAGACCAAGATCAACAACTTATATATGATGGTTGGATCAAATGTGGCTCCGGTACTCCTAACAGTCTTGGCTTTGGCAACGTATTCTTATATTCACGGAGAGTTACTCCCATCAATTGCATTTACAGCACTGGTATGTTGACCATTCTCTTGTCCTATAACCTGTGTCTCTGGAATCTTTTGCACTACGAGCGACATACGGCAAACTAGATGTCGTCTCACAATATTTCCAGGCCATTATTCCTTACTAATAGTCCCATACGAATATACAAACTGATCTGGCTGACACATTCATTCGAAAATAGGGAGTATTCATGCAACTTGAAGGCGTCCTAGGAATGGTTCCCTTTCTGTTCATGATGGGGATGAACGCAAAGGTAAGTTGCGATCGAATCGAATCTTTCCTCCAGTCTCCAGAAAAGCCAGAGAACACCTACCCTGGAGATTCTATCACTTTCGAAAATGTGTCCGTCAGCTTTCCGTCGAAATCCAAAATTTCAGAGGAGGAAGACAGATTTGTTCTGAGAGATCTTAATCTCCAATTCCCCAACAATGCTTTGAGTGTTATATCAGGACCTACAGGCTCTGGAAAGTCACTTCTTCTCTCGGCCATACTAGGCGAAGTTGAGGTTCTATCTGGTAACATCACTGTACCTCGACCACCTCAAGCCAATGAGCGTCATGATAGCAAGGCTACTGCTGCTGATTGGATCATACCTTCGGCGAGAGCGTTCGTCTCTCAAACTCCATGGATTGAAAATGCTACCATTAAAGACAATATCCTGTTCGGTCTACCATTCGACTCCACACGATATCAAGAAGTACTTGACGCATGTGCACTTACGAAAGATCTCCACATGTTTGATGACGGTGACTTGACAGAGGTTGGTGCTCAAGGCATCAGTTTAAGTGGTGGCCAAAAGTGGCGTTTGACTCTAGCAAGAGCCTTCTACTCTCGTGCCGGAATATTAATACTCGATGATGTCTTCTCGGCTCTCGACGCACATGTTGGAAAAGAAATCTACGACAATGCAATCTCGGGTGAGCTTTCGAAAGGTAGAACACGGATCCTAGTAACCCATCACGTGTCGCTGTGCCTTCCACGTGCAAGTTACGCCGTTCAATTATCGAAAAATGGAGGACTCGAGCATGCAGGTTCTATTGATGAGCTCAAAAAGACCGGGAATTTTGATGATATTATCAAGGCAGAGCAGCTTGCGGAAGTAGCCGATGATGAGGAGGTGATTGCATCCGAGGCAAATGGAGACAAGAAGCCATCCAATGAACCAGCCTCCAAACCCAAAAAACTCATCGAAGACGAGAAACGAGAAACTGGAAGCGTGAAGGCAAGCGTCTATGCGAAATATCTCATGGCGACTGGAGGCATTCCCTTTTGGGGACTGGTCCTCATATTTTATCTTGTCGCCGAAAGCTTAATAATAGGGCGATCCTGGTGGATTAAGATATGGACATCTTCCTATGAACATTCTGAAATGAGCTTGAATGGTTTCAATTCTACACATCTGCCTTATATCACCATGCAACAGCAGCTTAGCCCTTCAGCCTTCATCTCGAAGTTTCAAAATCCCTTTTCAAAAAATCATACATTGGGCTACTATCTGCTTGGCTACGTGCTCATATCGGCTGTCTCTGTATTTGTCGCCACTGCTAGATATTACTTCATCTATCGTGGATCTCTATCTGCTTCGAGAAATGTTTTCAAGGAGATGACCAATATTGTTCTTCGTACTCCCTTGAGATGGTTGGATACTGTTCCTACGGGACGGATTTTGAATCGCTTCACTGCAGATTTCTCTTCCATGGATTCACAACTCTCTACCAATTTCGCCCAAACCGCCTCTGCATTCCTTGAAATTATTGGAATCATGGTATCTGCGTAAGTTCATTTGTCTTATTCCATTGAATACACTGCTAATTAATCTTTAGGTTCTTCGTATCGCCATATATTATCATCATTGCAGTGGTCCTATTGGGAATTTGCACTTATATTGCCCTCCTATACATCAAAGGGGCACGCTCTCTCAAACGTCTCGAATCAATCCAAAAGTCTCCCATGATTTCTCACTTTGGATCCGCTCTAGCAGGTCTCAGTACCATCCGCGCATTCTCAAATGCACCAGTTTTTGAGGCAAAGATGCATGAGCTGGCAGACTCGTTCGCAGCTGCCACTTGGCATAATTGGCTGTTCAATCGATGGTTCGGGTTGCGTATGGCACTGGTTGGTTCGTTGTTCTCATCGTGTGTGGCTGCATTTATTGTCTCCACTCATGGTGTTGATGCGTCGCTAGCTGGATTTGCACTTGCATTTGCCTTGAGTTATAGACGGGCGGTTATCAATACTATTCGCCTTTTGGCAAGTGCAGAGCTTGACATGAATGTGAGGATTTCCCCTCAAATCCATTATTGATAACTAATTGCTGACTCCTGGTGTCTTAGGCTGCTGAGCGAATTTTTGAGTATACACAATTAGAGATGGAACCTCAAGGCGGAACAGATAACATTCGCGCCTCATGGCCGGAAGAAGGTAAACTAGAAGTAACAGACTTAGAGGTCGGGTATGCCGAAGATTTGCCCGCAATTTTGAAAGGCTTGACTTTCTCTGTGGATAAAAATCAACGAGTTGG